GTTTTTTTTTTTTTTTTTTTTTTTCGGAAGCTCTTCGCGATCTATGGATCGTTGTGTCTATCGTGATTTAGTTTTCGAACTATTAGCTTGAGACAGAAACGATTATTATGAGTTGGCAAAACAATGTGAATGGAAGCGATTCTATATCGCAACTACGTTCGTCAATATGTTGAGCATTGTGTTATTTCGATGTGAAAGCCAAGGCGTAAATGTTTGCCCTGGGGCTGCAATTTTTAGCGGAATTAATTGTCCGTCTTTAGTTTGGATTTCATCAATTGTTCTATTTTTCTGGCAGCAAGGGATAACTTAAATAGCAAGTCAAACGTCGGACCAACTGATTCTAGTCAGAAAACTCTGAGTCTTACCTCTAGTACGTCTGTAATCAAACCGAAATTCGATGTATCGGGCGCCTGCGCTCTCAAGTCTTTTAGCTTCATTGATCTCAGGAATGCCACCAAGAACTTCCGCAGTGAAAGTCTACTTGGCGAGGGAGGATTTGGATGCGTCTTCAAAGGGTGGATCGATGAACACTCATATCTTCCTACCAAACCCGGAACTGGAATTGTAGTGGCTGTCAAGAAACTCAAGCGAGGGAGCCTTCAAGGCTACAAGGAGTGGCTTGTACGTAAATAATGAACCCTGTCATTGTTCATAATCTGTTTTCCAACTGGTTCACCTTTAACGTTGTTTGAATCTTGACATTTCAGGCGGAAGTGAACTATCTGGGCCAGCTCCGCCATGATAATCTTGTCAGGCTTATTGGGTATTGCTCAGAATCCGATGACCGACTTCTAGTTTACGAGTATATGCCGAAGGGAAGCCTGGAAAACCATTTGTTTAGAAGTTAGTATGCAACCCCTTCGCTACCTTTGTTCTTTATTCATCAACTTTCTTCTCTTGCTTAAGTTTTAATGCTCTTTCCCTACTTCTATGAATATCTGGATTAGTGTTCTTTCCCCCTCCAATTTGTATAGCTTAAGAAATCTAGCATACTAAAAATTAGAAATGGTATAAGAAGTTAAATATAAATCTGCATGAGGATCACTTGAAAGGAAGCTAGTTTTCGAGAATGGACACATTTAAAAATTAGCATAGGTTTTCGGAAATTGATGTTTTCGAGAATGGACACATTGAAAGGAAGCTAGTTTTTACAAATCTGAACTTTCGATTTCAATTCTCTCTAAATTTAATGTTCAAATTTGTAACCAAAGAAAACAGTTACTTTGGTTGATGTTAGAAATGGTGACTCTCTCTCTCTCTCTCTCTCTCTCTTCATGAGTCTTCCTGGCAGGTTTACTTTTGAGGGAGTCAGAATGATGGTTGTTTAATAATTTTCCTCTTGACTTTGATTTTTTGCTTTGGAGAAGGACAAACATTTGCATGATGATCTCTTTAAAAAAGTTTCATGTGTTGTTGCAGTATTGTTTCCCTGGGAATTTGTAATGATACTCACCATTCTCTGTCTTTACAGAAGGTGTTGCACCGATTTCTTGGCGTGTTCGAATGAATATTGCAGTTGATGTGGCACGGGGATTATCATTCTTACACAGTTGTGAACCTAATGTTATATACCGTGATTTGAAGGCGTCCAACATTCTGCTTGATTCAGTGAGTAATTTTGTCTCATCAAGGGAAAGAAAATCCCCTCTGAAGATACTCATTTCTCTCTGTTTCTTTCTTTTAAGGAATTCAATGCCAAACTCTCAGATTTTGGCTTAGCAAGGGAGGGTCCTACGGGAGACAAGACTCATGTTTCAACCCGGGTTATGGGAACACGAGGCTACGCTGCCCCAGAATATGTAGCAACAGGTTGGTTATATTTCATTTATTTAATCTTGTAATGTTTCTAGATTGATAAAGCAGCATGCATGTCCAGTAAAATAAAATTTTGGAATTTGAAAAAGTAACAAATCTATTTCGTTCCTCTTAGCTCGTATTCGGGATGGTTGAATTTATTGTTCTTTCTTAGCAAGATTTGGTGTATTGAACTTAAGATTAAGAGGAAGAAAAAGAAACCAAGAAACACGACGATGGAAGTGTTCTATACTACATTATGACCGTCCGTAAGTTTAAGACGTTTGAAACGTGGCCACATTGGCAAATGCATCTTTCCTTTTACCCTATATAGAACAAAGATATTCTTGTATATGAAATAGTACATTTGGTGATTGGTTTGACTGACTGCAACAGGTCACTTGACCCCGAAGAGTGACGTATACAGCTTTGGCGTCGTTTTGCTAGAACTTCTCTCAGGCAAACGTGCATTGGACCAAGAGAAAGTAGGGAGAGTGGAAGAGACCCTAGTGGATTGGGGGAAACCCCTCCTAAGCGACAGTAAACGAATGTTGAGGATAATGGACACGAGGATGGGCGGTCAGTACTCGAGAAAAGAAGCTCAAGCTGCAGCCTCGCTTGCGCTGAATTGTCTCCACACAGATCCTAAAAACAGGCCATCAATGGTTGATGTTCTGGAGGAATTAGAACGACTACTGAGCTCAAAGGATGTTCTAAGGACTCCGGACAGCCGTGCCATCAGACGCACTCCGCCTGCTAGATCTCGATAGTAAAGTAATAATAATGGCTTACTCGAACTGTGTTTGATTTTTTATTTGGAAGTTGCCTCCCAACAAACGCACTTCACCCAATACAAGAAGTGCGCTGTACAAGTTTTGTGGATATTTTCACGTAGAATTTATATCCCCAACCAAATGTTACAGAAACAATCAAGTCCTTCCATCCACTCTTTTTAACTTCAATTTCTAAAAATAATTATGATTAAAAAAAAAAAAACATTTAGAATTTCGTTTCAATATTACCTCACACTTTAACCCTACACCTTTAACTCAGTTGTTCCTCAGTAGCTCAGTGCTAGTGATTGGTTGTTTACGAGATTAAACTTTCATTACTACTCTTGACATTTAATCGTAGTTTTTACTATTTTCTTAATTATTTTATTAAGATTGTTTCCCGTGATATTTTATATTTGTATTGTAATTTCATTGTAATTTGATCGACGATTATTAAAACTTGTACACTTGTGGTATTACATTGAATAATTAACATAGAGAAAATCATTATACATTTACTTAACTAAATAAACTTCAAATTTACCCAAATAAACTTCAAATTTAAGTTTTAATGAAAAACAGTGAATCTCGAGATAGAAGTGGTAGGTTGATATCGAGAATCTATTCATCTTTATAATTTGATGATTCAAGCATTTAGGTAGCTAAATTTTAAACGTATTCAAGATATAAATTGATCTCTAGCTAAATTTTAAAAGGTAAATTTTAATCGTATTCAAGGTATAAATTGATCCCATAAACGCTGCCCGAACCCAATAATTTAGGTTTCCAAATCCATCCCAACTGCTATTTAGTTTCTTTTTGTCTCCCTTTTTTGGCATTAAAAAATTTATTTTTATTTTTAAAAATAAAACACTTTTAAAAGTATTTTTTAAACATTTTATTCAGTTCATTATTATTATTATTTGGCAATTATCCTCCCACCATGTAAAAGCGGCTATCCAGCGCTAGACGACTTCACTTCCTGGAGGTCTTTCAAAATTTTCCCGCACAAATTCTTCTCTTCTATGAGTTTGGCTGAAACTCCCTTACAGAATCAACCTTGTCTGAATCTTTGAGGTATTAGCTGACCTTGAATTAGGGTTCAGAATGCGGGAGCTGAGTTGGAGACATCACACTCTCATTCAAGCGCTTCTCGCTCGCGGCCCACTCAGAGAGGATCACTTCCATTTGCTGTTTACGCGGATCACTGAAAAGAGTCCAGGTTTTAATTTCTTTCTCCTTCCCCAGTTTGGTATTCAAGTTGGGAAGTAATGATTTAACGGTATGGAGTCCTGCTCGATTTTTTTCTAACAAATGATGGAGGATGTCTTTCTTAGATCATCTGTAAAAGATGCGTTTGAGTTCTTATAAATTCATGTTCAAAGATTACCGAATATTTGCAATAGAATGGTTTCTGAGTATAATATGGAACCACATATTGGAAGAAATTGCATCTGGGGTTCATATCCGTATACGTTTTGGAAATGTGTATTCTTATATCTTTCCTTAATCATTAGCATAAACGATTGAAAAAGAAGAGTGTTTTTAATTGAATTCGGCCGACGGTTGAAAACTAAGATCTGATCGATGTTTATTTTGGTGCAGAGAATGACCGGCAGCTTTTTAATAATTACCTCCTGACGATGAACAAAGCACTTTCTTTTGCTCAATTTGAGTTGCGAGGCTGCAGAAACCAATATGATGGTCGTGTTTACTATGGCTTGGTCAATAATGTATCCGATGAACAATCCAAACTGGGAACAAAGTATTCAGTTCCACAGATTGCCTTTTATAAAGCCATTGTGAGTTATCAACTATGGGAAGTATTGGCGTTCTTCAATAAACTGACCATTCTGCCAATTTGCTTAGCAATCAACTATGGGAACTTAGTGCTTACAATATATGCATCTTTTGTTTTATTGTCGTAAATTGCTATGTCAGGTTGAAGCAATTGCACAAGATCCATCTGCTCGAGGTGGAATATCCAACATTGCTGCTCTTCATCTGCAGTTGGAAAATCAGGTTCCTCTTGTTTGTATATGACCAATACTACCGTTTTGAGTCTATTATTGTCAAAGTCAGCTGCATATTTAACTAAGGTTGGCATCTTTGGTCTTTTGCCTTGTAAATAAGACTAATTCCACGTATTGTGGACAAGAACTCTTTGGAATGAGTTTGTGAGATCCCACATCGTTTAGAGAGAGGAACGAGTGCCAGTGAGGACGTTGGGTCCCGAACGGGGTGGATTGTGAGATCCAATATCGGTTGGAGAGGGGAACGAAACATTCTTTATAAGGGTGTGGAAACCTCTCCCTAGCAGACGCGTTTTAAAAACCTTGAGAGAAAGCCCAAAAAGGAAAAGCCAAAGAAGACAATATCTGCTAGAGGTGGGCTCGGGCTATTACAGAGTTGAACAAGAGTATCATTTGATCTTTAGCTTATATCATTCATAGAAAGGTACACTAGTTCTTAAATTATGATTTGATACGAGTCACATTCTTCTTGAATTTAAATATTGCCAATGGAGTGCCAAGAGTTTTCTACGTGGTTAAGGCTCGTATCGTAACTTATCGATCAAAATTGGATAATGGGACTGTTAGTCCGACAGTGGCATGAATGCCTTTAGAATATATTGATACATTCACTTCTTTGTGGCCACTTCAATTAAATTCGCCTAGGAGTCACTCTCAAGTTTGTTATTTTCACTTCTTTCTTTTCCAATACCTGAATTTTTATAATTGTTAAATTTGAGACTAAGAATTTAAGGCCACACTTAAACTCTACACAATTTTGTTGCAATGCTTCTGATTTGCCCCCATTGTTGGTATAATTGAGAACTGACAAAAGCTTCCAGCTCCTTGTATTACTCTCTTTGTAGGCCTTTTCTGCTTTTTCCCATATCTAAGAATCCTATTGTATAATATTCGTATCATTGTTTAACTGTTACTGTTTTATCACTACCAGCTGGGGGATGCAGGGTCCCAGTCCCATGTCATACCACCTGCTTTCAAGAATTTCTCAATATCTCTCAAGGAAAAAACAATCGCCGAGCTTGCTCAGGATCAGTGGCTTAATTGCACCCCTGATGGTTTTGTAAATTTGGGTGTCAGATCATTTCTTGATTTGCGAAGTTGGTTCCGCACTAATGACATACCTTCATGTGAAGTGTGCAATGAAGCTGGAGTGAAGGTTCTCTTCTTTTATGCCATTTTTGTGATTTACTAAGTCAATTATCATTTTATCTCAATTTTGTGCATTGCATTATTTTCCCCTAATGCCCACACTGATAGGAGAAGCTGAACATTTGATGAAAAGGATTTTATGTTGACAGTGCAATTGGTCTGGATTTCAACATGATCCAAATTCCGTATAGTTTTTACTCTAAAGAACCTTAACCAACCTTATTTCCTTGATGATTTATATGTTTGCTGGACTTGTTATTCACAGGCAGAGTTGTGTAGTAATGAAGGCTGCACTGTTCGTGTACATCGGTATTGCCTTAAGAAAATGTTATCCAATAAAAAGGTTATATGATGTGGTACCTTCCTAATTTAATCTTTTGATCTGCAAGATCTCTTGTTCCTAACAGTTCTTTAAATGGACTATTATTTAGAGTAAAAGGGCTTGCCCAAGTTGTGGCACTCAATGGCGATCTACAGCACCCAATGTGGAGTTCAAGGAGGAAGAGGATGAGCCAGATGCGCGCATTCAAGGCCAGTCATCATCACATAAGAGGAAGAAAACCAGATTGAACAGAGATATTGATTCAGGACCAAATGGAGACAGTATGGCTGCGGCACAAGCTTCCCAACCTCCTCCAGATACAAGGAGAATAACACGAAGTTCTGCACACCCGCGGTAGGCGCTTGAAATGAGGTACGGTTATTTTGATATAGTTTCATGGATCCTAGTCTAGGAGTTGTGAAGTGTGCAGCAACTGCACCTTTTGATGTATTGTGTCAAAATTATCATCATATTCATATTTAATTGAATTTGCTGTTTTCTCGTACACAGAATTGGAATGTAAAGTGCATTACACAGCGTAAGCCAAAGGTAAGTTTTTTTTTTTTTTCTTTTCTTTTCTTTCTTTTAATCTCTTGTAAACTATAGCAGTGTTCTCCATTCTTGTCGTCCACATATGCAAGGAACGAGCTGTTCCATTGTAATGATTTTTTTTCTTTTTGTACCTAGGATATTTTGATTGTATTGAGAGTATAAATAGGTTCAATATCCTTTAAATATCCCAAATTGCAGGAACAGCCCAAGTCTGCTACCAAACCTACCGCTAACAGATATTGTCATCTTTGGGTTTTCCCATTTAAGGTTCCGCTCAAGGTTTTTAAAACGCGTCTGCTAGGGAGAGTTTTTCACACCCTTATAAAGAATGTTTCGTTTTCCTCTCCAACCGATGAGGGATCTAACACCTTATTTATTTATTTTATTGTGAACGAGTGTCCGAGCCAACTTGTGTCACTGTAGAATCACAAAAAACTGTTTGACTTTACTCCATTTGGTTATTATAGAAACACTTTAGATCTCAATTTTAAGTATGTGAGTACCATAGATTGAACTTGTTAACTCAGAAATGGTTAACTGTAGCCTCTTTATTTAACAGGTATTATGCTTTTCGGTGGTGTTATGATGAACAGTTAAACATGTATGATGGGTCTGGATTGTGTAAAAAGGTATGCAGCTCAATGCTGAAAATTTGACCGTTCATCATATTTACTATGTTTAGATTTAAGGATAAATATATCCACTCTAGAGGAGTCATAATTAAGCTGTTTAAATAGTGAGAACAAATTAGAGCACTCTGGAGAAGTCATAATAGCAGTGACATGAGATTAAAGTGGTGTCTTTGAACTGTTGAGAATAGAATCGATTATGAAACTTTAGATGGTGGGAAAGTGAAGCAATGAAAAGAATATGGCTACATGTTTGTCTTTATATAATTAGATTATCTGAATTCATTACAAAAATGTCCCTTTATGAAGCTGACTTGGCTGTGAAAAGAGAGTTTGATCTAATTAGCATCTTGTGAATGACGTTCAATCATTCCAACTAAGCTGCAGTAGGTGTGTCTAAGTCCACTACTAGTCGATATTGTCTCTTTTGGACTTTTTCTTTTAAGCTTCTTCTCAAAATTTTTAAAACGCGTCTGCTAGGGAGAGGTTTTCACACTCTTATAAAAAATATTTCTTTGTCCTCTCAACCGAGGCGGGATCTCACAATCCATTGAGATATGCTAACTTTTATTCTTTTTAATTCAACGACACATTAAATGAATTATTTAAACCTTTATTTGGTTGATGATGCATGTTTTATATCAGTTGAATTTTGTTCTTATTAGTGGGCTATGCTCACTAGAGAACGACGAAACATCTGATGGGACGTGAGTGGATGCTTTGATGTCCTAAGGGCACACATGGCCTAAGCTTCTCAGCATTGTGGTTTGTGTCATTTGTACGACCTCTGTTTTTAAGCCTTTGCCTTGTTTAAACAAGAACAGAATCCAAAGTAATGTCTCAATTCAAAAGGTATAACCATTTTGCCATTTATTATCTGTTCTATTATTATAAAGTATGAGTAAATATTCGTCCTTCTTCTGTACTATAATCAAAATAAACACAGATCCGACCAACCTTTTTTTTTTTTTTTTTTTAATTTATCATTTTTGTCCTTTTAAAGTAGATTTGTTGTGTTTAGACTGCTTCTATCTCGTTTATTCAGCTAGTTTTTTCTCATGGTAAGTAATTAGTGGAATCTCAATTTTTCGTTAAAAAAATCCAACAAATTAGTATGTTTTTAATAGTTTGATACATTCCTTGCTTTTTATAGAGAGAATTTTTTAATTGATCATGAAAATTTTATATAAAATATATATTATAAATAAATAATATCGTAAAAAATACATTACATAGTTAATATACACACACACATACATATATATATAGTAGTTGGAAAAAAAAAGTCAGGATATTTGTGTAAATAGAGTTATTCCTTCAAAATTTAAGGATAAAATAGATACGAAGCCAAAAAAAAAAAATTAAAATTGAAGGACTAAACTTATAATTTATAATTTAATTAAATAGAGTGGACCTATTATCATTTTATTTCTAAAATTAATATTTGAAATAATATATATATATATATATAAAAGAAAAGGTCAACCATAAATAGTTATTTAAATGTCAAAGTTTAGAAGGGTCATGTTATTAAATTCATAACAAAAATAGGTCAATTATAATAAGTTAAAATAAAATGTGAGGGTCTTTGTCAAAAAAGAAAAAAAAAAGTGAGAATAATCTTTTTATAAAAATTAAAAAAGAAAAAAAAAAAAAAAAAGCTGGAAAAGTTACTGAATAGCTTGAGGAGCGTGGGTGGTACGCGGCAATGGATCTGAGAAAAGGCGGGGCCTTTTGGCTAAGTGGGACGAAAGAGGGCTCCACTCTTCAGCATCCACTTCCGGAATTTGTATGTGTGCGTTGTTATGTGGCTCTTGCATGGACGCCAGTGGGCCGCGCTTTCTTCCCATTCTTCACTCTCTCTCTCTCTCTTGCCGTTTTTGTATGTACTTTTTCACTCTCTTTCCTCTCTGTAAAAACCCCATTTCTGTAACACACGAATTTCTCTTCCGCTTCTCTCTCTGAAACGAATGATTCTACCATGTGGGTCTTCTCTAAAATCCCACCCTTTTCTTTGTTCCTGTTCTTGATGGCCTTCGTCGACTCTGGTATGCTTGCTTCTGCAAATTCTTTTGTTTTCACTTTTCTGCTCTGTAATTTCTTGCTTTTTTCGTCTTTTACGCACCCACTTTTCCCTTTTCGTTTCGTATAATTCCGACTTCGTTTTAGAATTTGGATCGGTTCTTGCTTTTCTGTCTTATTTCGCGATTCCAGTGAGCTTTCGATTGTTCATGGTCCTGAATCTTATCTATTCCCCTTGTTTGCATCTCCTTTCTGGTTTATCTCAGAAATTAGCCGGCTGTCCATTGCTCCGAGTCTTTGAATTTGATATGTTCTTCTGTAAGTTCTGTTGATTCCTTGGATTTTCATAGACTGGATTGAATTTTGTTATATACGGAGTTGAATCCTTTGTTTTCAGGGGAAGCTCAGTTCTGGTTTAGTTAAATCCTTCTCTAAATCTTCGTGGAGATTCATCTCTTCACTTGATTTTCTCCCTTTTAGGGTTCATATCTTTAGTTCGCTACTTTTTAGTCTTTATTGGCTCTCCTTTCTGTTCAATTCTTTCTCTGTGTTCTTTATGTTCTTGTTCGAATTCTTATCCATAGATGGTTCTCCAAAGAACATCACTGTATCTGTAGAATTAACCATATGTTTTCAGATCCTTATGCTTGCTCCTTGTATTTCAGTTGTTCTGTTCTTCCCCATTTCTGATTTTTTTTTCAAAAAAAATTCAATCCAGAACTCTCATCTTATCCAATGATTTGTTTGAAAATCAGTAGTACTTGTCAATATTTGTTTAGAAATTTCAGGAGAGTTTGAATCTTGGGCAGTTATATTTTGTTTGCTGTTTCATGGTTTCTTACTATGTTATGCTTAAATTTGATATTCAGGATGAGTATTCTATCCAAATTCTGTATTAGGAGGGATATCGAGCTGTAAGGTTTACGGATATGGGAGCCTCGAGTTCTAAAGTAGAGGAAGATAAGGCCCTACGACTATGTCGTATAAGGAAGAAATTTGTTAAGCAAGCTCTTCATGGAAGGTGCTCTCTTGCGACGGCCCATGCTGAATACATTCAATCATTAAGATGTACAGGGACTGCTCTCAAAATATTTGTACATCCTGAAGGCCCAGTAGAATCGCCCCTATACACTTCGACTAATGCAACTCCGGAGCCCCTTGCCTTTGCTGAGAAGTCTATGTCCCAATTCTCGTTTTCCTCTCCGTCCTTCTCGCAGCGTGTGGATATTGGTAACTTTTCTCCCTCACCGTCTCCTCCTACTTCGAGTCGGTTTCAGGCTAATCATATGCAATTCAGGGGTAGTTTTTCTAACAGAGTTGAAGAAAAATTGCCCACACCTGTTATTGGAACTGTAACCTCCTCAGACGTTCGACCAAGTGACGCACCTCAAAAACGGTCATTTGAAGGTTCTTCTGCACCTCAGGATGGAACTTGGGATTACTTTTTTCCTTCAAATAATCATGAATTTTCCTTCCAAGATGGGAATGGTATTAATAATGGAGGGTTTGAGTTTGAGAATACGGGTGGTTTGAAGCACTTTAAGGAAGAGGAAGGAAATTCCGAATATAGAGAAAGAGAAGAGAAGGGTTCGTTACATGTAGGGGAGGAATCTCAACACTCGGAGGACGAGTTTGACGAACCTTCTTCGGAAACTCTGGTGCGAAGTTTTGAAAATTTTAACAGGGTACACAATGATGGAGCAGTGAATACCTCTCCTACTATGCATACTGTGAAAAGTGTAGCTTCGGAGCCCGAGTTAGTGAACCAAGGGAAGAACCACTCTCCTGGTTTATCACCTTTAAGAACCACGTCTTCGGTAGTTCCATTTACATCTGTTTTCGGTAAAGCTACAGCAAAGGAAGACGGTATTGAGAATACAGCTGTTCCCAAGGACTTATTTTCAAGCATGAAAGAAATAGAAAGACTCTTTACAAAAGCTTCTGAATCTGGCAAAGAAGTTCCAAGAATGCTTGAAGCTAATAAGTTGCACATACGGCCAATTTTTCCCGGGAAAGAAAGTAATTTCTTACTCTCTCCCTCTCTCTCTCCTTCTGTGTGTGTGCATATTATACTCGAGCTTTGCGCTTAAGGTGAACTAAGATTTAGTTGTAATTTCGTAATTGATAATACGATCTACCCCGTACAAGATATCGGGGATTTAGCTAATGCCTAATAAGGCGATGATGCTTCATAATTTGGTATGGTTCATTCATTATTTCAAAGTTGCAGTAAGATTATTTGGAATCATTGTGTAGTGATCAGCTAGACAGCCCATCTCTGGTATTGTAAATGTTTTTTTTAAGGATCTAGATGTTTGAAAGGTTTGTCTCGTAAATATCCTGTTGAAATGTTTTAACTCGATTGATTTTCTCCTTGTGCAGACCAACCATTATCATCAAGATTCTTGAAGTCCTGCTTTTCGTGTGGAGATGACCCAAGCGTTGTTCGTGAAGGTATAGGCACCGTTGTTTTCGTCTTCATAATCTATAAATTCTGTCGGTTTATGAAGTTTTTATAGCTCTTCGGTTGATTTGGGTGATCCAGACTCTCCTTATTAGTTATACTCATGGGGTGACATAAATTGCCAGTGTTTGTTTGTCGAAATGTCTGAATTCCAACCATCATTTGATGTCTATGACCAGCAGTTCTTATGTCTTAGGTTGTTTTCTTGTTGAGTGAACTTGTGAACATGTGCTGATCTTATGAACATGATCTTGTTCCCACTCTAACTTCATTGAGATGCATGTTTACTTGGTTGGCATTTTTTACAAGCCCACATCTGACATTATTGAATCGATAAGCTGTGACCTCTGTATGTATTGGATAATCGATGTAGGCGATATCCTACCCGTCTTCACATAGCTATTCACTATGATAGCTTCATTAATCAATGGTCGTTCTTTGTGTTATCGTAGAGCCGGTTCAAACTGCAACAAAGTACTTGACTTGGCATAGGACAGCTTCGTCACGCTCCTCTTCATCCAGGAATCCTTTGGGAGGAAACTCAAAAGAGGATGTCGAGGACCACTCCAGCAACTTATTCGGGAATTTCTGCATGAACTCGGGCAGTCATGCGTCAACCTTGGATCGGCTATATGCATGGGAAAAGAAGCTCCATGATGAAGTCAAGGTTCTGCAGAACTTTAGTCTTGATATAGTTTCATGAATCCCTGATCTTGATTTAATAATTTCTGATTTGGTTGTGTTCTGTTCATAACAGGCAAATGAGATGGTCAGGAAAGAGTATGACCTTAAGTGTAAAATGCTACGACATTTAGAATCGAAGGAAGTCGGTCAGCCAAAGATTGATAAAACACGAGCTGTTATCAAGGATCTACATTCCAGAATCAGGGTCGGACTCCATAGAATAGATTCTATATCGAAGAAGATCGAAGAACTGCGAGACAACGAGCTCCATCCACAACTCGAGGAGTTGATTGAAGGGTGAGTTCCTTTTTTCCTGCCATCATTCTTGGTTGGTCTGCTACAGATTCAATTTAGAATATGCAAATTTCTTGTTTTCATTGCGTAAATATTTGCGTTCGGACAACGACAGGTTAAGTCGGATGTGGGAAGTGATGTTCGATTGCCACAAGCATCAGCTACAAATCATCAAAGCAGTGTCGTACCATGGCAAAATGAAAATCTCAATGCAGTCCGAGACACAGAGGCACAATACCATTTATCTCGAAACCGAACTCGCGTCGCTATCATCAAGTTTTACGAAGTGGATTGCAGCACAGAAGTCGTATCTGCAATCGATAAACGAATGGCTTCTCACATGTGTCTCTATACCTCAAAAATCATCCAGAGGAAAGAAGAGACCACAGCCCCCATCCATAAGGAATTATGGACCTCCCCCTATATACGTCACGTGCGGTGTCTGGTTGGAGAAGAGTAAAGATTTGCCTACGAAGGACGTCGTAGATTCGATAAAGGACTTGGCAGTCGAAACTGCCCGTTTTTTGCCACATCAAGAGAGAAACCAGGTGAAGGGGAAAGGAGCAAAACATCTTTCAATCTTAACAACCTTCAAGGCCGACAATGACAGTGAATCAATGGGCAATAATTTGTTACAGGACGACGAAGCGTCGAGGAGCTTGGTATCTGGGTTCGATAATTTCGGAGCAAGCTTGGTCAAGTTTTTCGAAAATTTGAATAACTTTGCAGAGTGTTCTGTGAAAATGTACGGAGATCTTGGGAATACCATCAAAGATGCTAAGAATAGGTACGAACAAGGGAAATCCTAGAAACTCGAAAAAGAACGATGCAAAAAAGATGAGTTCCGAGGCGAGGCCAAGCGAGTCGAGACATAGGATTTATATATGAGGAACATAATAAAAGAAATTGAATGGTAAGGTGTTGTTTTTATGTTGCTGAAATTGAAGCAGAAAATAAAGGAGCTCAGCACATATATTAAGATAGAGGAGAGGTGAATTGATGTTGGAAGGTGTAATTATATCACTATTTTACATTACCCATCAAAATAAGAGTCATTCATTATTATTATTATTATTATTATGAAAATATACTCTTGAAGGTAAATTTTAATTTTGAAAAGATAATTGGTAGCAACTATATCATAATAAATTTTATTATTTTATTAATGAATATATAATTATTTTGAAATGTGGTACAGTAGTTATGTGAAATATCTCCCACGTTTCTTGTTCGCACGTAGGGAGCATGTCTAAACTGCCCATCATCTAATATAGAATATTTGTTCAAATAAATTATATTTTATTAGAGATGGTTTTTTTTTTTTAATATATATTGGGTGTCTAATTAATAAAAATATTCCTTTCGATTAATTCTAGATAAAAATCGTTAATACTTTAAATACTTTATTTCTACGCTTAATCTTCAAATATATATATATATATATATATATATATATAACTTTAAAAAACTAAAAAGTATCTTTTAAATTTGATGAAATTATATTCAAACATAAATTTTTTTAATAGTATTAATAAAACTATGTTTTAAAAGCTATTTTTCAAACCCTTTTAATATATATTCAAAAAAAAAAAAGTTTAAGGATATATTTTTAAAAAAAGTTAAATTTAAAAGTATTATTGAAAATTTGAAAAATTCAATGATGTCGCAAGATTTAAATAGATTATTTTAATGAAAATTTTCAATTATTAGTATAACAATGAGTAATTTGTTCTCAATAAGTCAAAATTCATATGAAATAATTAAAATTTCAACTGTATGGGAAATTATTATATTTATTTCATCCCATTAAAACATTTGTTCTTTCAATTCAATTAATGAAGTATATTTAACATTACATCAACATTTTGTCAATTAACTTGAACATTTAACTCAAAATAATATAAAATAAAATAAAAACGTAACATTAATTAAAATAAAACATTTTTAAAAAAATTTATTTCATTTTAATCCTTTCAAATTTTAAATTTCTAAATTTGACACGTGTATTTTTAATATATCTCAAAATTAATTTCCACCCAATTAAATTTTCCTAAAAATATTTAATCTTGAATAATTATATCCAGGGCAGGACTTAAAATTAGCAAAGTTTTTTTAAAAATTAAAATTAAAAAAATGAATCCACGCATACAATCTTTTCTTTGATTAGAAAAAAAAAAAAAAAAAAAAAAA